CAGACAGACAGACAGACAGACAGACAGACAGACAGACAGGCAATCCTGGGCTAGAGCATTTATCTGGTTTCATTTCAATCACACTTTTTTTAATAAAAATATTTTTCCAGATTAAAAGACATTTGTACTAGTTTGGACACTGAAATTGCCTTGGTTGCCCAGATACCATGAGAAGAAGGAGCAGCCCAGTTAATTCCTCTGGCTGTTCCAGTGGTTTTAGTACCACTGATTATGTTATGTTTCTGAAGACTGAAAGTACTCTTTTATATCATTCTGTTCTTATTCGAACAGCCAATTGAAGAAGGGGATACAGAGAGTTCATCTCTCAGGTCCATACATTTATGCTATGTATTTCCATGGAATTTTTCTTCTTGGGTCATTCCTTTTAAACAGCTACATGAAAGAGATGAGTGAGATTATTTTGGGAATGGAATGAGCAGCTGACAATGGCAAACTATTTCTTTAGGTTAGGCAGTGGAATGACAGAATGATGACTGGTAAACTAAGGAACAGACAAGAAGATGTGCTGTTGAGAAATATTTTTACCAACCAGGATGTTAGTATTTCACCTGCATCACAAAAGATAACCTCCATCTTTGAGGAAAGATTAAGAGATGCTAACCACACAAGTCTTTATGGCACTGATTGAGTTTCAACAGCTTCAACTTGTATGCCAACTATGATCTCTTTTGAATGAAGATAGTCTTGAAAGTACTTATCCATGCTCTAGTAGCCTCTGGTGTTATACATATGACTCAAGGTTGGCTTATGATTTTTTTAACACTTTTTTGCACATTCTTGAAATAAATTTCACAGAGTGGCTTATATGAACAACAGTAATTTAAAGAACACATTAGTCAGAAAATAAAAGCATATCTTCAGTGGATACAATTTTAACATTTATTTCAAAATCCTGGGAAGATAAAGGCCATAGTAAGCACAGTATATAGAAGCTAGACTACTGACAGACATGAGAATTTCAGAGCTTATTCTGCCAGTCTTTCAACTACTGTACTGATTCTTGGTCCATTTCTAGGCACAATATGTTGTGATGGTGCTAAATTTAAAATCTCTTCACAATCTGGGATCCATCCATTTGAAATATCGATTACTCTAGATCATCCTGCTTATACTAGTTATAATTAATGCTACATCTGTAAGAGTTGCCCAATGCTAACACATTTAACAAAATCAGAAAATGCCTTTATCTTCTCAGGATTTTGAAATAAATGTTAAAATTGTATCCACTGAAGATATGCTTTTATTTTTTGACTAATGTGTTCTTTAAATTACTGTTGTTCATATAAACCACTCTGTGAAATTTATTTAAAGAATGTGCAAAAAAGTGTTAAAAACATCATAAGCCAACCTTGAATTTAAAATGGTACCTTGTGGTATATCAGGTGAGTTTCCAAATGCCTCAATAAATTGTAGTGCTCAGTAACATCATAGTTACTCCACTGAATGAGAGACCAGTATAGCATTAAAATATTCAGGTTGTATTGAGATCTAAAATTTACCACAGTCAAAGCCTTCTTCAAAACCACAAAAGGTTTTATCAGAAGCCTTAACCTATAATGCAAAGGAGTCAACTGCTTCTACCCAGTATTAGCTACTAAGATATTGTACTAATACACAGAAAACTACTCAGTATATGAATTAAGTCTTTTAAACTGATTATTTGGAATGACTGACCTGACGAATAGCCAGTGCTCCTTGGGGATCTACAGTCAACTCTGCCAAGTGAACACCAAATTCTGAAATGAAAAAAAAAAAATCATGAGCATAAGGGCCAATAACAAAGCACCATCAATTCAGGGGTCATACAATGGTGAAGAAACAATAGTATAGTAAGTTTTATTCACAATTCACTCATAAGGGCCAATAACAAAGCACCATCAATTCAGGGGTCATACAATGGTGAAGAAACAATAGTATAGTAAGTTTTATTCACAATTCACTCATAAGGGCCAATAACAAAGCACCATCAATTCAGGGGTCATACAATGGTGAAGAAACAATAGTATAGTAAGTTTTATTCACAATTCACTCTTTATTATTTATCCAATTCCTTCCCTTCAGTTTTTGTCTGATTTTATGACTGTTCCTTATTGTTCAAATGAAATTTTTTCACCTCATAGACAATAAAGAAAGCTTACAGAAAACAGAACAGAAGTAGTGTCTATGAATTATTTAATAAAAGTAATGCTTTCCAATGTGAAAAAATATTTTTCTTCAATACTGGACAAATACATGAAATAAAGAAAAAAATAATATCCTCAATGATATAACTTGG